TCAAACTTCAAGACACTTTTTTACTTCTGACTCATCTATTTAATTAGACGAGTACATCGACCGGATTCCGTTCGAATTACCCCAACAGAACGTTGAGGAAACAGATAAACCGTGGAGATCTCCAAAAAACTAGCCTGTGATTATAGTTCACTTTTCGCATAAACATTGCATTTAGGTTCTATTTAGTTAGGATATATCCATTTGCCTTATGAACTATACTCATGTACTTTATTATATATTACACGATGATTTCCAGAGCCAGCCAAATTTTATATCATAGATAGCATTCTTTTTTTAAAACAGTTGTTGACAAACAATGAAGGTATTTACCCCTGTGAACCAGTGTGTTGGCTAACTGGGATTCAATTTTTGGTGACAGATAGACATTGCACCCAAATACGACATACCATCAAGGAGTTACAGCCATCTATCGCTCCCTCTGAGATGAAACTAATATAGTATTTGTGACGGAAACGCTACAGAACTCAGTTGACTCCCTCCAATCACTTGGGGGACGAATATCGAGCAACTTTTCCCTTTGCCTGCGTACTTTGCGATTTTCTGACGAATACCCGGAGCAGTACCTGGCCCGACCACTGTGTTATTCTACAGAGTGCTTATTATGATCATTCCGGTTATTGTTTAGCATTACGTAGCACCATGGGACAAACGACATAAAAAAGCAAAACGGTGGTCAGGACTCAACGAAATGGGCATGAAATTGGTTCTGGCTGACTTATGCATGCGATCCAGCTACGCACCTTGCCTTTCAAAGCGCAATTGAATTAAAGAAACCTAGATATAAAAATAATCTCCAAAACAGTTTCTGGGATTTGTTCTACATCCAAAAAAGGACCATCCTTCAACCACGAAACAGACAGGGACGCCTCATCGTTCTATGGAGCTCTCACAGGCCTCATATCATTTGATGTCCTCGGGTTTAGTGACCTATGCTCTTTAAGTCTCCTTTCGATTCGATTCACAACTTGTGAAACTATTCTTTCGCTTTTCACCCGGTTTTTTGAATAACTTCTACTATTTACTTTTTTAGTTTTTTCCGCGGAATTTTGATATTTTCAAAGTCAAAACATTTCCAAAAAATCTGGGCCGTTCCGAGCAGCTCTAGCAAATGACGTTTTCACTACCTAAGCGGCAACTGTTTGTTAGCAACAAGAACTTTTCTCGTGCCATTCGCTTGTTGCTATTTTAATACACATATATCGATTGATTTTTGTTAGTAAATCACTTTGAATGGCATCTAGCCTTCAATGCAATGAAATTCCAATAAAACCTCACTATCTCGGTACTTCGCCGGGCCGAGCCCACTAACTCTTCCTGGTACACCACTGCATGCAAGCACTTTGATGCTTAAGGTGACCAGTTTTCAAAAAAAAAAAAAAATAAGCCATGAAATTTGATTGTATCGCCCGAATCAAGAAAAATACTGTTAGGGTTGAAATATATAAGGGAAGAGTGGGTGAGAAAGAACGGGAGTGTGAAAAAAACGGTGGAACTATAGAAACACCCCTAAAAAACATAGTCGTATGGGAGAAGGGAAAATGGGAATACTGCATATACGTAGATCCAAAAACATCCAAAAACAAAGTTCGAAGCAAAACACCCAATTCTACCCTTTACACGCAAAATTTTCAAAGACGGTGTTTTCCAACCTCTTTGCTGACGAGGTCTGCGAGTCCGACACTGACGTTACTCCAGTTATCGAGCTGGCCTCAAAACCAATTGCTCAAGCTATTCAATAACTCCAGAAAATCATGAAGCATCTATCAAATAAAAACAGAGGTGAGGTCATGACAAGGGATGCAGCTGTCACTGCTTGTCCATGGGATCAAATCCCTGATTTAAAACCGCTCAGCCCAACCAAATCTTTGATCTCTTGAGGGTCACCTGATTCGTACCAGACCAGCAGTGACGATTGAAGATCGATTTCAAGAGACGCATACGCACATCTGAACGGGTCTCAAGTCATGTATTGACCAATTATGCGTTCATCAGCCTGAATTTTTAAAAGATATCGGATTTCGTTTGTAATATTATATTTGATTTCTATAAAACGCCCGCAAAAAGGTGCCAAGCTAAACCGTTGACGTGGGCAAAATTCGATGACAGATCGATGAAATCCATGTAAGCCCCACCTTCTTCGAATTACGTGCCAAACAGGAAACCTAACATAATTTTTTTGAAGATCTGGGACATTGAAGACTAAAGTCTTCGGGTATAATCCCAATCCCGCCTGAGGGATGCGCCCCCGCATTCGACTTCCATTCAGGATCGTAGTGGCGTTTTGAATGCGTATGGAGCCTATACTATGGCTGGCGGTGACCAGTCGATGAAAATGTCAAGGCTTTTATACTCCCAGACGAGTCTGGTATCAATCAGCCTACCCCGGGGGATGGAAGGAGTGGTTGGCCTGGGCAGTTTTCGATCCGGGATTTGCCTGAGACAATGCGCCTAAGGTAGTGCCCCACTTGCCACTATACCACCCCGCCCAAATCTTCTGAAAACTTGGGGCATTGCGCACTATAAGTGCTTGAGGACTGAATGCACTTTCATTGCCCACTGACGTATCGTCCCTTACTAAAAATCCATTCCAGAACGAATTTCTACCCCCAAAGTATGAAAATAGACCCTGCATTGCTGTACTTTTGTTTCCTAAATGTTGAGTCATGATCGCGGGAACCCTGGTGGTCTTGTGGCCGCCCCCACTCGACTCAACCCCTCTTACACCTGGTAACAGCACGTTCTCCCTGACAGTTGGCATTCATAAGGAGTGACGTGAGAACCGCCCAGAAAAACCCTCCCCGAGAAATGTCAGCTGATCAAATGTCGACAGAGTAAAGTAATAAATTGAAGACAGATCAGAGATGTGAATCATATGGCCAAACGAGCACATGTGAGTAATCACTGCAGTTTCAAGTTATTGAAAAATCTTTTCCTAAAAGTTTTGCTGGTAAATGCAGCTCATGAATTATAGCCTATCATCTGTATTATGACACTTATGCATTGGTCAAGTGAGAATTCAATTGAATCACCAGTTTCCAATTAATGCAGGATGATAGGGTGTAATAGTTGGAGTCCTAGAGTAGTCCCATGCAAACACCATTCAATTATCGTGAATCTAGTTACAAGTTTCTGTGAGAACATTTTCGAATACTTAGGAAATTGGTCTGTTCGCTTCATTGTTTACATAACACACCAAGATTTTTTTTATTTAAATTGAAATAAGGTAGCAGGTGAGGATGAACGCTCAGTAGTACGGCTACCAGCTTGCCATCTTGCCTGATGGTGAGGCCAGATTCAGCTTAAGCCAGTAGAGTTCTCCACTGTTCTGAGCTGAATAAACCCAATATACCCTCATTTACCAGACAGTAAGGAACTAGTCCGATTTTGGTTACTATTCTTTTCCAATGTTACTTCCTGCCATGCTCAACGAATTTCACTAATCTCCTGACCGAGGTTTATCCAAGAACAACATGAGCCATTCGAAGTAGGGAGATAAAAGTGGGCTCCCTGTTTGAATATGGGCACCCTAACTGCACCCAGTCTACAATTTTGAGCGCCACTCTTCTCTTAATACTCTGATGTAAGTTTCTTAATAGCCTTTCGGGTCAGAAAGTAAGATTAGCGGTTCACAAGATGGATTGAGTTTTTCACAGCCAGTTAGTTCCATTACCGTCTCACTTGTAACACACATAGTCCCCATATGGGTGTCAAGTGAACGTCCCTTCAGTCGGTTAAGGCTGAACACTTTTGAATTTCTGATTTCAGCGACGCCAGTTTTTCAATGGGTGTAAGAGTAAACCATGCACATATCCACAGAAGTTGTCAAATATACGCAATAAAATATTTGGACTAAGTTTCTCTTCTGCGAAAGACCATCTAATCCAGGCAAAATTCTAGGACAGCGCTCCTCAAGTAGGTGTTGACTTACAGGCAAAAGATGTCGGGGTTGGGAATGCATATATATTCAACTTTGGATCCTAATCTTGTGATAACTTCAGTGAGGATTGCAATTTCACCACTCAACACTTGACAAAAGGTCGTTAGAATAGTAGCTCCACCTTAATCGTCTCGCTCAGTCCTCTCATTCCCACCCATTTTTCTCCAACCTAGCATTCCACTTCTGTTCTGGGATGGATTCCTATAAATCGGCGCCCTTGTCGAGAATATTCCGAATTGCATTATTTTGAGAATTAGTAAGGAGTTTATCTCTCAAAAGATTTTTTTTCCATTCTGAATTCTTTTCATGAGCATCGAGTATGTAAGCGAAATACCGATATCAACCCCTGTTGAGTATTGGGTAAATTCCTTCCTCCTTCATGAAACATTTAGCGAAGAATGCTTTCATTCGAAAGGAGGTGGTGCGTTGGCATCGGGCCAATCTGATGGATCATTTTTTTCTAGCCATGTCGTTTCTAATTTTTTTTTCAATTCTGGTGTTTAACGTTCTTCAGCCTTCGCATTGTTTCGTATCCTTTTCTTTGATCTGCTTACCTTCTTTCCTACCATTCTTCCTCAAAAAGCAGCGCTAAGGTATCCCTTGATTCTTCACTGTTTGTCATTATTTGCGAGTTACATTGATCCTAATCATTTTTTACCAAGCAGAAGTAAAGGTCATTCTTATCATCCCATCACCTTTTTTTCTGCTCCGTTGTTCTGAATTCCAATGATTTCTCGAACGCTTTCCGTCCATAAACCCTCGATTTGATACCGTGATTAGAACGACTGATTCACACTGCCGGCTTTTCTTCCCAGGGTCGTTGCTGTCGTCGCCGACTGGGCGGGGCTTGGTTTCGTATTGGTCAACATTCGAGTGTGGGCGTGGCTTGGAAAGGCAACCGGAGCGTCAACTTGCTCTCCGACGCGCCACGACCGACGACTCCACTTCGCCAGCGCAACTCACGAGCGCTACCAGCAAAACACACAGGCACACACGCAGCACATACCTGTAGAGGTCTCCTGCTACAGCAGTAGCAGCCATTATGACGCAGGTCATCTGCCACGATCTGAATGAGGTTTGTTCCAACGAGCGATCCTATTCTTCTTATCACTCAAAAAAAAAAAGCTTCAGGAATTCTGTTTATTCAATACTCTCTTCAAACAACAATCCCTAACTCTGACCTCATTTCCAGGTCTGGGACGACATCAGTGAATTTCTGGATCAAGAAAATTTCCGAATTGGCGAGGTCAGTCGATTGGCATTCTCGCCCCTTGAAACGCCGACCGTCGGTATGCTCACTCGAGCGCCTCGAGTTCACGACCAGCTCGTGCGTGAGCCGCCGATCACCTTGGCCATGCCGCCACCTGCGCTACCTGGAGCCACGTTCGCCCCGGCAGCACCAAGTCGACTCCCGGCGTTCGCCTCTACATGCGCCCTGGCAGCCGCTGCCGTTGCTACCAGTACAGGAGACGCTTGCTCAGCACAACCAACTACTTCAACTGTTATTCCTGGATACTACACTATTCCACCCCAACCACCGGCCACTCCGCAGCAAACGCAACAGCCAGCTCCACTTCCTGTCAAAGAAGAATCACCGCCGTCTAGTCCTGAGATACCGTATCCGTATCTAGACAATAATTATTCGCGTAGCCCACTCGCCAACAGTTTACCTGATCTGAATTTACCAATTCAACGAAATCACAAGACAAGCAGGTAACGAATTTTTGGAGAATTTTAGCGCTTTTCTATTCTTTTGATCCGACAATTCGTGCTTTGTTTACTGCTTTAAGCCATTCTTGCGTTTTTCATGATTTATATTTTTGTTAAACTTAGGATACACATATAATCAAACTTCAAACGCATACGTTCCTAATGGGCCAAATGGGCCAAACAAAGAACGCCCCTACTTTTCAGTTGCCAAAATTACATTCATATGTAGGGATATGTAAATATTAATAAATATTATTATATTATTATATAACTTTAATAAACAAATAAATAAATAAATCTTCAAAACAGTCAACTTGATTGGATTCATTTGTGTGCAATGCAGTTTCTTCTGAGAAAATGTTCAAGAGAAGAAGATATATTAATCATTTTTTAATGTTCTTTTTCGTAAGCCCCAGAGAAATTCGATCTTAACAAAGGAGCATTGGGAAACCAGCTCCTGAATGAAGCGGTACTAGCCAAAAATCCTCTTCAACGAGTATGATTGTATCGCAAAAACCTTGAATCTCCGAAAAATATCTATTGATTTTTGTACTCACTTTGTAATTTGCTATATCTGATTCTGTACTCTGTACAGAATCAGATATAGCAAATTATAGCCCATTTACAATTATGTTTTTTTCGTAAGAACCCACTGTTGATTCAGCTATTTTCTTTTGGATGGAGCCATAAAAATCTTGCACATTGGAACGCTTTTATTAATTTTGGATATAGTTTCAATTATAAAAAAATCTTGAGAGTAATAACAATGAAAAACATAGGTAGCCACAGTTTTCTGAGTTTTTTTGTTTGACTACGGCTCTAAAAATTTGTCTGAGATGGCGATAACGATTCTCCTACGACTGCTCCGAAATTCACACTATCATAAAACAAGCGGTACATTGATGTTCCACCCTTTCAGCGCGAGTATACCGGATGTTCTGATTTTGAGAGCGACTACCGTCGCTACCACCTGCTAAACATCTTCTTGACAGATACTACCCCAACTCATACGGAGAGTATTTTGAAAGGCCGTACTAAGTTTAAACATTACGTCAATCTGAGAATATTTTATTCAGTCTGTCAATCATAAACCATCGGTCCAGTGAATTTTTATCGCATGTGTGCTTGAAAATTGCTTCGTACCCAGCTGCTCCCCATATCCCACTTGAAAACATCCCGTCACTGTCTTGAATCTTCTCCACCACCGCCGGTGATTAACATTGCGTCTACCACTCTATAATTCCCTTGTTACCGTCTCCAAATCAATAAAGAGAACGGAATTGAGCGATGTAAGTGATGGTCGTCGCCACATTCTTCAGTTACCGTACACCAATCTTAGCGCCAAGTGAACGCACAGTTGGGGACCGCTGTCAGTTATGAAAACAATTCATTAGCAATTATAAAAACATATTTACATCTGCGATGTGACGCGATTATTACGCGCGCGTAACCGTCAGTTAAGTTTCTTGGGGATTTCTCACTGTTAGGCCAGGATTCTTTGTGATTCGTGAATGTAGAGCTTCGACAGCCCTCAGAGCAGTCTACCAGCAATACTCTTGGCTGACTAAGAGCTCCATAAGCGAGTTATGTTCATTCTATTAGTTCTCTATGTTCAAACATCGAAGCACTTTTGATATTAGGTAGGATAAAACATTCAACAGGAACAGCTGACAAAGAAAAATTGAAAACAGTCGATCACTTAAAGGCACAGTTCACGGTAATAGTGGCTTATCAGATATCCCGCTTGGTTAAATATGTGACATCCTCTTATACCACACGTGGCACTGTCTGGTCGGAAAACGACCTAGAGAGGGCGTAATAGAAGTTCAGAATGTTTCCTGGGTATATGCGGACGAGTTTCAACGCCATTGTAGAGGTTGCACCGTTCACAAGGGAACTAATGTAGGAAGTTCAAACAACTCATCATCACCCATAGCGACAGTAAAGACAATTCTGGACAGTTTTGGCTTGATTTAGCTGATTCAGCTCTATGCGCAATTGCAACAACTATTATAAAATCTCGTCCAAATACCCCTTCCATGCCATTTCTAACATGGTAATCTCGTACAACCTCTACCTTACTACTTTTAATGAGTCTTATTTTCGCAATTGTGGCAATTTATCGATTCCTTCACACCGGTGCACTATTCCCAATTTAATAGTTCCACTTTTCGACTCAAAAATGTATACCTCGAAATTATCGTGAACTGTGCCTTTAAGCAGAACAAATCGCTACTTTATCGAATCTAGCCGCTGTGGGAGTTCATCTCATGTTACCGCATTACATAGCTACGTTTACTTACTAATCAATCAAAATCTCTTCTTACCCACCTGTCCAGAATCTGTTCCCACTCGACCGCTCTTAATCGTCTCCAATAACTTTTACTGCATTCTTCAATTTTTGTTCGACTGGTTGGGTGGCACTTGGTGTGGTGTCGTTAAGGCAGGCTAGGCAACTGTGTTATGGTATCCTGAAAATAGTTTCTAATTTTCAAGCTTAGAATACGACTATGGTCTGAGCCATGAAGTTGAATATTGAAACAAAATTTATTAAAGAGGATTATATTTATTCTATCACTATTTCATATCTTTACTAATCCACGCTATAAGTGGAAAACAGGAAAGTTCCTCACCTTTTGCTATGGCAAATGTGAACTAACTATAAGGGATTGTCAGCCTTCCATGGAAAGATGAGAACGAGAATGAGAGATGGGATACTTTCAGTGAAGTAGCTACGTTTCCATGTTTGATATGCTCAAAAACTAACAACTTTTATCACTCTACTTACCATAGTTTACTTTTGCCCAAGAAGACCAGATTTTTATTTGCATCAGGCCACGGATACCTTTCTTTCGCATAAATCGAGTACTTTATAGACCACGTTTGTATGGACGAGAGAAAAACAATATGTATACCAGCTAGTCCCATGCCCAAGCTACATTTGGCTCGAAGGCATGTTTGTGTGCTTCAACAATTATAATTTAAAAGTAGACTGCACAGCGCACTCTCACTGCAGCGAGAGTACACTGCGAGGGTACCGCTCACTACCGGAAATTCTTTCCTTTCAGGGAAACTAACAAGTGCTAATCGATAATTCACCACTGATTGTGGAAAAGTTCCGGGTGTGCATCATAATGCGCGTTAGTTATTCACCAGCTATCAGTGCTGTAAGCAACTTCCAGCTGATAATCAGCAGGCGGACGGCATTAGAGCGATCGCTGCCGCTGCTTGAAAGCGGACATCGAAGGTGGCCACAACCGGTGGAATTGCGCGCAAGACAGTCAGTGACATATCGAGAGCCATCGTTTTTTAACGATCGGGCATGGGCAAAAGACTTAAAATAGATGGAACACGGGTGAGAATCAATCTCGATTGGATGCGCCCCGCAGTCGGGTTCCAATCAGAATCGTAGTGGAGTTCAACTGCGTATGTGATGCATACGTAATTTGAGGTGGTCAGCAGATGTACGAGTTGGTACTTTTATCTTCCCAAGCGAGGTGACACGAACTAACCGACCCCGAAGGAACAGAAGGTTTGGCTGGACTAGCCCAGTATCGAGCCGGGATTCGAGGCCAGGACCATGCACGGGTGATGGTGTACCACCTGCGAAAAAACCACGCGAAATAAGATTTTTTCGGTAGCTCAGACTCCTACTCCCCTACAAACTACGAGCCGCACACGTTCTGAGGTTAAGGTTGCCTGGAAGTGACTATATCAATCATGCATCGAATGCAATCCAATTCTTCAAGACCTTGCACGTTGCATCTAACAGTTCTTCGAGACTAATAGTAGCCTATAAATAATGTTCTTGAAAACAATAGGTTCAAGACTTTTCGATGCTTTCCACCAATCTTACCGACACTTTGCCGAAGTCGTGGCAGACACTCTAACAGTCCTATTTGTTAAATCCTTTTACGCGAATTTATACGGAATCTTTCGATGCACAACCTACCTGCTCTGTTTTCTGTCTCTTCCAAGAATCTTCTTTCTCGCTTCCGACACTTGAATGGATTTTATAATTCAACATGACCTGTAACATAAATACTGATAAAAACTCTTCAAGAAAAAGCGGATGAGCAATCAAGTCAAAGAGTACGAGTTAAGAAAAACTATCTCAGCGAAAGTCGAGTAGCTAATAGACGTCAAACTATTCAGTTATCTGCTTTTTAAACGTCAAATAAGAGTGGAGAAGAAAGCGAAAATTGCCCTTTTTAGGATCAGCAGTGGCCGGGAACTCTACATAGGTTTAAAAGTTTGCAGTTGGACTCAGGTCTCATTTATCTTGACCAGTCCTTTTGATGACTTCTTTCTGTAGCGGGATACTACTCCAAAATTAGGGTGGTTATTCAGAATATTCATTCAAGTATGCGACGTCATTTAGTGAAAGGCAAGCTTTACCAGTTTTTGCATAGTAAAGCAATGTCTTAATGCAACATAATCTCGTATAGCCCCCTAGTTTCAACTTCCAAAATGACATGGAAGGGATAGTCGGACGAGATTTCAGTTGTTCCAACTGCGCAAAGAGCTGACTACATCGGGCCAAAACTGTTCAAAACCGCTCTCCACTGTCGCCATTTCTCATCGAGTTGTTTGAAATTCGTGCATGGCTGTTCTTAGGGAATTGTGCGGCCTCTAAAATGCCGTTAAAAGTCGTCCACCTCTGGTGTGGTATACAACCGGTACAATCTCTGGGCTCTTACAATGTTACTTGTTACTAAGACGCTCTAATATATACCGATATGGGCCCACTCTAATTTACTAACCTATGGGACGCTTTTACTTCCCGCTCCAAATGCTTTCAGTACCACATTATGCCTTGACAAGGGCCCTTCCCGTGTGTGGAATTCTTCAGAGCACACTTGACGGCGATAGGACCCATAAGTTAAAGTAGCGTAGGAATGCCTAAGGAGTAAACTGGTGTGAGAATTTTAATCACAAAATAAATAGCCTAGTTATTCAAAGGAGAAAAGCAGTTAGAAGAAGCAAGCTTGAGAGCGGGTTAGTATA